GATTTTGTCATTAGTAAGTGTTAATGAACAATCATCTATATGTATACCTAATCGGCGATACATGTACAAGTTACATTATTACTAAAAAGTTCATACCTGATGAGATAACAAAAAAACGAACTAACGACAAGAACCAAAGTCGAGGAGATAGAAATCATGGCACAAGGAATTTACTCCGGGTAATTTCTTTGACGTTTAAAACAGTTGCGCTTCAGCAAACGTTCCCAGAGCTTTGAGTAATATTCTAGTCTATTAAATATATGCAGTTCCTTTCAACTGTGATCGAGATCTTCGAACTCGTTGTCAGAAAAAGGTAGAGAGTCAGTCCTGTTAGCTGGCACTAATTTTTATTGGCAATTAGTACAGATGAAGCCGGAAGGGAGGTGGAAGAATATTGCTTCAGCAGAAAAAAACTGAAACACGTTCGACTGCACTGATAAGCAATACTAACAGTACTGAATTTCTAATAAACTAATAAACATCATGTTAGCTGAAATCAGCCCATTTGATGTCACGTGAACAAATGAAATACAGTTACAGAGTCAGTAGTTTTCCAAGCAGCAGGCAGTTAGCTTGTTTTATTGCATTCTGACACAACTTTTGACTGTTCCCATGGTGGCGAAAGAACATTCGTGAGTCACTAGTTCTCTTTTTCTTTATTTTCTGAAACATTACCCACCTAGTATAGAATCATTGCACAGCTACCCGCGGCCAAGTTAAAATTGTATTACAATCTTGAAAACACATGTAATATGTATGTATGTAAAAAAGTGTCTTCAAAATCTTACTCCTTTTTGTTGTTTTTGTCAAAGTTTTTGTTGTAAATTTGCAATAAATATGTATATTGTTATCGAAGCTCAGTAATGAAGCATTTTGAAGAAGATTGGAAATTTGCTTAGCTGTGGCTTCCTGGCTGCCAGAAATCGGCTACTCTCGGCTTCGTCTCTTGTTTCGGATTATTGATGAAGCCGAACTGAAGAGAAAAATAATTTGGAATAAACGAAAGTGTCCGCGCTAGATAAATACAAAACTGATTGATTGATTGTGAGAAACCAAAATAGCGCTCACAGTTATTGCGAGATATTGGAATTTAAGATTCAAAAATTAATGACGGAACTTTAACTCCCCCAGGGGCGGACTCTCTTGAGAAAGGGTCGACGGGAATACCGTTATTACTCGAATAAGCGCAGCATCTTCACAGCAACAGGTCGGTGCGTTGTGGATTTGATTGATTGCTTGCTGTTTTTAATATAATGCTATATCACGCCTTAAAATGTATTTTGTTATATCTGCTATATAAGCCTTGAAAATATTTTTTGTTACGTTTCTTTCGCGGTTCAGTTATCTTTTATGATGGTTCACCGGTATTAAAGGGAAAAGAAAAACAAAATACGTAGTGCCGTATAACCGCCTCATCAAAGCGAATACGGTGGTTGTGCTGGGAAAGGTTCTTGGTATACTGCATATAACCAAATGATACAACAGAAAAGATTTCAGAGGCACTGAACGATATCCAACTACCTCACAACACAATACCCAACCAGCGATGATTTACTAACGATTTTAAAACTTGAAAAAGTAGAATCAAACTTGAACCATTTTCTCAAAATTTCTAAGCATGGTGAGCATAGACGAAGGCTTTCTTAATTTCTCTATTCGTTTGGGAACTCGATTAAATCAACTCGTGCGAATTTTTCTACTACTGAACTCACTAAAGCAATGTCCAAGAAACGTTTATTTGTTTTTAATTTATAGCTTAAATTACATTCTTGTTATAAGCAAGATCTTAGCAACGTTCTGAAGCTAAGATTTACCTTTAATGCTACAAAAATAATCGATATGTTTTTTTTATATAATTACTGACAGGGATTTTGTGCTTCGGTACAAATACGTAAACAGAAACTTCTACGGAACTTGTGGAAAGACGTGCAATTTCAGTACATTTTAAATGTGCCACAATACTCTAAATGACTACTGCTTGTAAATGATAGCAACTAAGCCGGGTTAGAATTTATAAAGGCATTTCAATCAAGTTAAAACTTACTTAAACATTGTTGTCAAATAATAAAGCATTCCTTGAAAAAGCACAAAGATGCAACAAATTTCATCACTCCTTGAGTGAAAAAAATATTCTAAAGGTTATCGGCCCCTTAGACAGAGATTACGCCGTCTAATAGTTAATAATAAACTTACAAGAGCGTTTGAGGTATATACTATAACGATTAAATACCGGCCGTCCGTTTGGTCAGTAATTTTCAAAACTTGATTTATTAGCCCTCCCCAAGAGACTATAAAGGGGACAGAGAGGCCATCCCCCATATACACCCTATTCCATAGGTAATTCGTCTAGAGTTATTTTTAGAATCGGGATAAAGTTACCTCGCGCGAGGCGTGGATGTTTCGTGGAGGTTTCGCATGACCAAACGCCGTGCAAAACATGTCGGGCGAGAGGCAATGAAAGCGTAAAAAGATCGAGAGCATTCCTGAATATTGAAGCGAA